CATGCTGAGAGAATGTTAATCAATGTTCCACTTTAGAATTGGATGTGTGCATTGTAGAACAGATATGCATTAATTTGTGCATTTTATATTCCTGCCTGGAGTTCAGCTTTAAATCTAGCATGTTGTTATACGACAATATCTATATTCCTGAACTGGAATGCAACAATTTTTTATAGTAATTATGCCTCCGCCGATTAATGAGATAGAATGTGTGATCAGGGATTTATATATGTGCCACCATCCGTAAGGTAGTAGAATATAGGAGGCAAAATAACAGTTGTGGCCTATTTAATTGACGGTCAATGCATGTACCACTAATGCCTTAACTTGTTTCCAGTCCACAGACAGTAGTATATTAGTATAAGTGAGGGAATAACAGAAACATAATTATTCACACATATGCATATTTCATATCTATCGATGTCACGTGTTTTAAACATGCGTTGCAACACACTATGCTAACGTGTCATAATGCACATCGCGTATTGAAATGCATTGAAATGCAATAACATGCATTTTGGTGCATTCCCACTGATTTAAAAGACAATACATAGGTATGATTAAACCTGAATACAACTAACCATGTCATCATTTTGCATCATGATAAATAAATGGCAGGTTGAATAGGAAACCACGTGACCTGCAGAAACTGTCCAGTGTTAATATGCCTACTTTACTGCATACAATGCTGCAATAGCTTCTTGTTTTACAAAAGCAACATGTAATGGTATATTTTAGTAGTAAAACCAATTAATGAGCACCAAATAAATATATAGTACCCACCCATCCCCAGGCCCGAAAAATGCCACAGACAACATTCTCACAGGGAAGCAAAGGGGTGGTAGTTAGGGTTGAGTGACAAAAGTAATCTCAAATTGTTGGTCCACCTAAATATGGCCAAGCAAACCTGTCTGATGTGTGGGTAATCAGGATCAACTTATGGTCCAGATAACAAATAATAAATTAAATTATTCTCCACAGACTACAGTGTGAGTCAGTTTGCTTATTCCTAATGTTAGTATCAAACTGTGGCGGATGCTAACCAATTGAAGGGATTGGGAAACTGGTAGGGCAAATAAGGAATAAACTTGTATTTGGACTTTATCCCAGTATGGTGCTTAAATCCCCAATTCACTCAGCACAGAACTTGAGACTGTGGAGATGAATAACCTTCCAGCAGGACAATGACCATACACACATAAGAAACATACAGCTACATCAGCACTAGAGTGGCCTGCAAGCAAGAAAATGGATGTCCTGCCAGAGCCCAGACCTCCATTCAACTGAAGTTCTATGAAAATATTTTAAGATTACTATAAACAAATGGGACACCATGCATCTTGACAAAGCTATAGCAATGTTGCCAAGAATAATTAGCTAACAATCCAGACATAAAAAATCTGGTAGAGTCTAAAGGTGCCCATACACCTTGCAATTATCGTTCGATTTCCAAACGAGCTTGGGTTGTCGTACAATAATCGGCCAGTTGATGGGAAGTGAATGATCAGAGTTACTGTATAACTGGCAGAATTTCCTCGATCGGTCAGGCTGGAAAACTTTTTTTGAATCGTACAAAAATAAAAAAATAAAAAAAATCGATGGATTGGTGGCTTTTACGTACGAAAAAACATATCAACATGAACACTGCACATGCACAACGGAAATCTGTTCTGTCGATTGACGAAATTGTGTCAGTTAGTATTGCTAACGAACGATAAAAATCCACATTGGTCTGTGCAATAATGCATATTCAAGCAGAAATCGATATTCTCAAGGTGTATTGCCAGCTTTACCCTAACAGACTCACAGCAGTAACTGTGGCTAAAGGCAGTTCTAACAAGTATTGACGCAGGAGGGTAAATACATATGCAAAACTGTCTGCTATTTTTGTTTAATTTAAAAATATGTTGGCATCTTAAGTTGTGTAAATCAAATGGCAATCAAATTTATTCCAAGTTGTAAGACGGCAAAATGTCCAAGGGGGTGAATACAGCTACAGTTTTTCCTAATACAGAAGTGAAGCAGTTAAGCTGTATAAGAGATACTACACATTGCAATTTCTTTGACTTTACAGATTAAATATGAATCCTGTCAGCACATCGCTATGCCGCTAACCTTGTGAAAGCATGGAATGGTTGAGAATATGAACAAGAATTTTACTCTATCATAATATAGCAAAAGCTAATAATGGCCATGCAGAAACAAAGCCTGTGCAGTAGGTCTTATTTTCCACTCTAATTTTTTCAGATGTCCCAAGAAAAACGGCACACCCCTACTGAGCTTATGTAATGTTTCTATGTTGGTATAACCAATGATAAACTATATGAACAATTAGTTGTTCTATATGGAAAAATGATGTTTAAAAAAATTCTAAAAAAATCTATGATCTTTGCTGTGACACTTCAAGGGATTCTCCACATGGCTCATGTTGAACATAGGAATGCCTTTCTAGGAAAATGACATTCTTTCCTGAAAATGTTCTTTTCGCAAAGAAATTAGGATATGAACTGCTTTCTATATCCCAATGTCTTTAGTTACCATGGCAACACAGACATTTCAGTGACATTTAGGCCTCATTCACACACGAATCGGCCTGCACGTACAGCTCCGTGCTGCGTGCAGGGCCGTACCAAGTAGCTGCCGGGAAGGACAGGTGCTGCGTGTGATTAGAACGCAGCCCCCGTCCTTCTCTATGGGGCTACGAGGCCGTACGCCCCCCTACGCTCACCTCATTTGCAGGTACGTAGGGGTGCGGGTGCTCGTATTCATACGCCGCCGGAATGGAACATGTATGCGTCCCGGCCAGAAAACCCGCACCCCTACGGACCTGCAAATGAGGTGAGCGTAGGGGGGCGTACGTGCAGGCCGATTAGTGTGTGAATGAGGCCTTAGTCAGTGCCCAACAAACAAGAGCCCCAGCAATCTAGTAATCAGTGACACCCTGCTATGTCCACATTGATGTGTTACCAGCACGTGACCAAAACTCTAATTGAAAACAGAAAGAAAAACCTTTGTAATCCACTAATAACTAATATCACACTCATGCCACAACATCAAAGTTAACCAGCACAATCTTTATAGGATTATGCAAGTGTGTGTGTGTGCGCCAAAATAAAACTCCAGCAAAAAGAAAAAACTTTATTGATTTATTTTTGTATAGAGTGGAGAAGGCTTAAAGACTTGGTCAGATTTTTATTGCCACCTGTGCCCCTATAATGTAGACTTCCCCTCACTTCCTGTCATAATAGGAAGAGGGGGAAATCATTCAAATTACAACATACACAAACAAAAAACACTAGTAGTAAAAGTTAGAAGTGTGAGAAAGGGATTCATCTGCCAATATTTTTGTTTGCTATTCATACCTTTCTTTGCTGGTGATTACCAGGCCCATATTTCCTGGACAAGCGTCATAGTGACAGAGAGTGGGCGAAAATCTCCTCAATGGGGGTCACAAATTGAAATAAGAAACCTGACAGAACTTTATCTAAAACTAAAAAGCAATTGGCAAGAGTTGGGCTTGAAGCTCCATTTACACAAAATTTAATTGGTAGATATTCCAATACACCAATAAATATGTATGCCAGGTATTAAAATGCAATCAATCAAAGCTCAAATCAACTTAGTGTTATAAATAGCTTTTTGCATTGGTTCGGGTAGATAAGAAATGTAGCATGCATTCGTGTGCCTTCAACAGGCATCTGACACATTTAAGCTGTTCAAGTCCCCCTTTTAAGCTTCTTTTGCATTTTATTTGGCATCAGACAAATGCTGGTTTACAAAAATCCAAAAAGGTATTTATGTCTGAACAGCTTCTCTTAATAGGACAGGCGCTGACCAACAATATATAGAAAAACAGGTGTAAAACATAAACCAACTTAAATGAAAGAATTGGAGTTGGTAATAACCATTAGGGCCTGTTCACACGACGTCCGTTTTGTGTGCTGACCGGCTCCGTACGCTGCTGCACTCAAAATGCATCCCAATGTATCTTTATGTGTTTTATGGGCTCCAGTTCTCACAGTCCGTCCAGCTTACGACAGAAAAAATAATGCATGTCACATTTTGTCAGGTCCGGAAACGCAAACGCGTCAAAAACGCTGCAAAAACCCACTGCACTGCAGCTAACATACTAACAGCCCCAATCCAGCAAAAAAAAAAAAAATCTTTTTTTTTTACTTGAACGCATAAAAAACGCGGTCAAAACGTGGCAAAAACGCACTACATCAGTCTGCAGATCCGCACCTGTTCAGGACCTGATCAGGACCTGATATCATGTGAACGGGCCCTTATAGGTAAACATGAAAGATTTCTGAAGTTTACCACTATCCATAAGATGCAGGTAACAGATGTTGGCATGCAGCTGGTATGCTACATCCATGCTACAAAAGGAAAGTGCAGCTACATTCTCATCAGTCTCTCCCCAGCCTAAAGGATGCACTTGCAAAAACATACATTAATGTCTGTTGCATTAATGCCATGTATATTATTTACATGATCTCTGCACCATAAATGCAGGTGGATTAATTTATGGTTTACCCAAAACTGAAGAAAAATATCTGTATAATGTAAACCTAAAATGCATTTCAGTATTCGGAATAGTTGAAAATGGCTGTTAAGCAGCTACTAAATGTAATGCAAACAATAATCTCTTCTCAATATTAA